TGGATAGGTAAATGATGACTAAAATAAACGACCCAAGATTTTCTCTTGCCGACCAGTATATTATCGTAGTCTTAAAGAAATTAGAATAAAATAAACTATGTTAAATTTATGATTATGATTAAGTGGATAGGTAATAATTTTCTCTCCCCGACTTACAAGATTGCCATAGCGATTCACTTCTAGACATGTAGGTAAATGATGACTAAAATAAACGACCCAAGATTTTCTCTTGCCGACCAGTATATTATCGTATTCTTAAGGAAATTAGAATAAAATAAACTATGTTAAAAATGTTCATGTATACTACTGAAATGAAGATAATATATCTAAGCTAAATGTAATCTATTACAGTTGTAGTAAAATGAGTAACTAATTGTCGAAAATCCAGATCCAACCCTAGATGCCACATTTTTTTGGAACGTCTACTCATGCGGTTTGAAATTTTGATGCAAAATCTGGCAATACCGCTCAGAAGAAATGTACCCACCCATACCCACCCAACTTTTTTCTCTTTTTAATACATTTGATTTGCCATTAAGCTGCCTACATCACTGTCTTACACGTTAAAATCCTATACACAGAGTTGACCTGTCTCGATGTGTATATATATATATATATATATATATATATATATATATATATATATATATATATATATATATATATATATATATATATATATATATATATATATATATATATATATATATATATATATATATATATATATATATATATATATATATATATATATATATATATATATATATTTAATTATTTTATATTAAACAGAAGAATTTTCTTCACTGTTTCCAATGTTCTTTTTCTGATGCTTCATCTCTTCCTTTTGATTATTTTTTTTTAGTTTAGTTGCATCCTTCCTTGATTCATTGTTCTCCTTAGATACACTGGGTGGTCGTTTACGTAAGCCTTGATGTTTTGACCTTGGAATTTCCAAAATATCCTTTCATTTGATTATTTGCATTATCTGCATTATTTGACGAACTGGACGCCATCTGTGATATACTAGATAAGTTATTTGCCTGTTCGACTACAGTGTTCGCTACAGCCAAGCTATAGTTCATCGTTTTCTCGGGAGATTTCGCAGTACTATTATTTATTCTACGATTGTTTACAATGTTTTTTTCGCTCTTGTTTTCCAAATATTTAATTTTTTCTTCCATATATGATATCCTTTCCCTTAATAAAACTCCATTTTCTTCTAATATTCTGTTCTTACTTTGTAACTCCTTTACTAGGGTCTTCAACAGTTCATTTTCATTCCCAGATGTTTCATTGGTTACTTGTTCGATTTCAGCTTCATGAATGCAAACAGCGGTTTTTTGGCCGGCAGCTTGCTTTAAGCATGCTGGATGGAAGACACCGTTGCACTTTATACACTTTATATCGCTTTCAACCTTTTTATTGCAGTGATTGCACACTTTTTTCAACTTTTTTGTGGCACTGATGCAATCCGACGTGTCGCTCGCCCTTGCAAGATAACCCATACTAAATAAGGAGGCGTTAAAATATTACCGCTTTTCGCTTTGGGTTAGTTCAGATTAAATAATGTCTACCGTCAAAAAACATGCTTGCAAAATCCCACCGTACAGAGCGACCGATCTGTGGCGACCGCTTTTAAATTTGGCGCATTACTAAATTATATAGGGTGGTCCGAACTGTATTCCGGAAACTTCGGTAGCAAATTCTGCAGATAAAAATAAGCAAAAAAGTTCGTATAAATGTCCCAACTAGCATTTATAGTGGCAGATACGTAACAGCTACTATCAAAGCCACTACAAAGTGGGCGGTGACCATCGGCGGCTACGTCGTATATTCGTAGCTGCTAAGTAACTGCGACCAAAATGGGGAAAGATTTTGAGTAGCTGGGTAGTGTCTTGGGTAGTTTTTGCCACTTAAAGAGTTACTATGATGTGTTACTATAAAGTAGCCTACTGGTGAATGCGACTTATCCGTTACGAAGCTGCCTAGTCGCGGGTTCGTGGCAGCCAAGTGTTGCAATGCCACCGACATGTGGAACTTTCGTTAAACTGTTGAACTTTATTCGCAGCGACCTCTTCATGCAATTTCACATTTCATAAAAATAAATGTCATGATGGAAAATAATTATGGAAGCCATTATTATTTTTTCGTTATTTGTTATTTACCGTGCGATTTTAACGCCTTTTTTAGGTAAATTCCAGAACGCAATCAACTTTACTGAATAAAATAGTGGGTTTATATAACAAAATTTTCTAGCGCCTCTCAAAATATTTCAAATTATTATATTATTTGCAATAGAAACTCATGTTTGTAATTAAAAAAATAATAATAATTTGCTTGAAACCGGGGCCAAACTTTAAAATATTAGTCCACCGTCAGAAATAACAAAATAACTAAGGAAAAAAGCTTTAATCTAGGTATATTTAGCTTAAAAACGCATAATGTTTGAGCCATTTGGCTGTTCGTCTAAAAATTCATGAAAATAATATGGCCGTTTAATCCGAAAAATACTTTATAGTTCCATATGCTTCCACAAAGTACCGGGGACAATAACATATTAGGCCAACCTACCCGTTTGGACCTTTACAATCTTCGGGTTGATAAAGTGACAATTGTAGCTATCCAAAGGTGACTTTATAGAAACAATAACTTTTTTGGAACTACATGGTCAACGATTCTTTGGAACCATAAAGTGATTTTTCAAAGAAAGTTCCCTGCGCCACCAAATTGCCACTTAATTGGAGCGGTTTTACACCGATCGCGGTGGTGGCGACTATACATTCCATAGATGCCACTATAACGTTCCGCCTTGTCCTTTGAAGTTATTTTTTACTTATTGTGCATTTTCTATTATTAGTGTTTCTATATTATTCAGGGCTACATGAGGTATAGAGTATTTTAACGCCCACTGTTTTAGCTTTTGTTTTATATTGTTGTTGGTTCTCAAATTAGTTCTCCTCTGAGATTCAGTTTCAGATGAATAACACTACACTCATCTGCAGAAACAGCTTCAATCACTATCTGATTTATGATGTTCATCAGTAGGACTATAGAGAGATGTAGTTTTTGTTTCTGATGTTGATGCATCGGCTCGCAGTGATTCCTTTTGTTTAATTCTTTGGTAGAAAGTACTAGAATATCTAAATTTCTTTTTATTCACCTTAGGGATTTTTCAATTTTTTAATAAAGCTTAAAAGCAAGTAAAAGAAAACACTAAAACAGAGCAGCACCCGATGCAATCTGAGGCAATTACATTTATTAGGTTATATTAAGTTACGGTCACTATAAAGTAGCCGTTTTTGACCCCCGTGACTTTTTAATGGCAATGGATGAGCGACGGCTACTTTATAGTGACCTAGGAAGGTAGCAGTAACCATTTTGCTACTTTCAATGCTACTATAAATTAGAAGTAACTAGGTGTCGTGGCCGCGACTACCCCGTAACTTAAATTGTTACTACAAAGTAACAAAAACTTAATGGAGGCATTATGGTAGCACTTGTTGGTAACCCTTACTTTAAAAAGCTACTATAAAGTTTTTGGTCTTTTATGGTGTCATATTCGAAAATTCGGGTAGTTCCAGCCACTTCTTTAAATTACATTTTTGTGACTTGCAATCGGGGTGTTTATTTTCCATTTTTATGGTAGGTAGGGACTAACCGGTCACTCTCGAAATATACTTCAAAGTGACTATTCCTTATAGAGTAACATTTTAAGTGGCAGAGTGGACCTAGGAACTATACTTTAGGGGCAGTGACATTTTAAAAAGGACTCGGAACTATATTTGCTAGTTGGGGTATGTCCGAAAATGCTTAATTTCGGAGATACAGGGTGTAGAAGTTTCATTTTTATTTCCATTTTTTTCAAATAATTTCTGAAGTAACGTCAATATTTGGATAAAAATTGCTGTATGGGAGTTTTTTGACATGGGAAATTTGGTTTTGATGTTAATATGACTCCTAGTAGGGGGCGCCACCTACATGCGTTTTAAATGTTTTGTTCCTGTATAAAACTGCTAAGTGAAAAAATATACATTTCCGTGACATTCTAAGTAAAAAATGTCTCTTAGTAAAAATCGCTACGAGCAACCGTTCTCAATATATTTAAAATGGAAATAATCAATACATGTAACTATTGACAAAAAATAAGCACGTTGAGTAGATATAGTTATTTGACTGAATTTATAAATTTGTAAATTTTAATTTTTTAATTTAATCATAAATTTTCTGCGAAAAAATGATAATAAAACAGTTTCTGTTGAACTTTTGACACAAAAACATTTCAAATTTATGATTTCAGTCTAATAACTATTTGGTCAACATGTTTAATTTATATCAATGATGACAGGTATTGATAATTTCGATTACAAATATCTCGAGAACCATTACTCGTAGTGATTTTTACCAAGAGATCTTTTTTACGTAAAATGTCGTATATTTTTTACTCAGTAGTTTTATACAGGTACGGACGAAAAGTTATTACTCTTCAAACCAGTTAAAAATATGTAGGTGGCGCCCCCTACAAGTAGTAGTCATATTGATATCAAAATCCCCAAATTTATCATGTCAAAAATCTCCCAGACACCAATTTCCATCGAAATATTGACGATACTTCATAAATTATTTGGGAAAATTGAAATAAAAATGAAACTTCTACACCCTGTATCTCCGAAACTAAGCATTTTTGGACATACATTTATACGAACTTTTTTACTTATGTTTATCTGCAGAATATGCTGCCGAAGTTTCCCGAATACAGTTCCACCCTGTATATTATAAATAACTAAAAAAAATTTCGAGCATTCTTAAACACTAGTTGTAACCAACAACATATATAAAGCGCTAAGTGCCACGGCTATTGAATTGTATTGTAAAAAATTCTCAATAGAGACACTGCCCGTTCGTATACTTTGGTTACATAACAAAAAATGTTGTTTATCTCGAAATAATGGTTTTGGCACTTAGAATATTATTTTCTTCAAATATTATTTATTTTTTAGGTGTCTATAATTCCAAGAGGTAAAGGTTTAGGTTATGCTCAATATCTGCCCAAAGATCAATATTTGTACTCAAGGGAACAACTTTTTGATCGCATGTGCATGACTTTGGGTGGTCGCGTTTCTGAAGAACTATTTTTTGGCAGAATAACAACTGGTGCTCAGGATGATCTGAAAAAAGTCACACAAAGTGCCTATGCTCAGGTAAAAATACATTTTTCTCATTCCTACCAGTTTTCAAGGATATCAGTATTTTTGCATTGAAACATTGTATACTTTTTGACAGGAAATATATAAGGCTTTTTTTAAATACAGGGTGTTGTAACTTCAATTATGTCACCTTATTTCTAATGTATGGTAAGAATTATTTGTATTTTAAATATTATAATATATTGATACTGCAAGAATCTTTCACTTTTTACTTATTTCTAATTAGAGATAAATACTTCAAAAGTTCCAGGAGCTACAAAAAAAAACTAACCATTATTGAAATTTCAACACCTTGTAGATTGTTAATGAAGCGTTTGCAGACCTAAGTTGACTTGAGATTTTAATCATAAAATAAATCAAAACAGCCTTTGGTTTGTATATGATATTTTAGAACACCCTGTTCTGAAATACAGAGTGTTCCGAAATATTAATTACAAACAGAGTGTTTTGGTTTATTTTATGATATATAACGGTTATATATCATAATATACCGGGTGCGTCTCAAAAGTGGCTCTATACCTTTTTAATTTTTTCAGATAAAAAATCGAGATTTGGTATGTTAGTATATGACATAAATTAGGATTGATTGACGTATTCAATTGTTTTTGGTCACTTCCTGTTTCACCGGAAATTACTTTAACTTTTGATTTTTAAATGGCACACTCTGTATTTTGTTACTTTATTCGATAGAAAATTACACTCTGAATAGATTGACATATCATATGTCAACTTTTGATATTTTCGAATATAGTTTTATTATTTGAAATTGCAACATGCGATTCATAACGACAATTTGACTCGAAATACCAAATGTGGGGTACCAAATTATTCGTAAAAAAATGTTTTTTCCAAATATGTTAATGAGCCACCCTTGTTCCAGTTGAAAATATTGAGATATGATGAAAAGTACGATTTCGGCATCTTTTAATTGGCCAGAACAAGACACTAAAAACATTAGATAATCAAATCTATTTTTCCAAGACTCCTTGATTAAAAATTAGTGTTTTTAATATATTTTTGACAATTTTGCTGAAAGTGAAAATGTCAAAAGTTGACATATGATATGTCATTCTATTCAGAGTGTCATTTTCTATCGAATAAAGTAAAAAAATACCGAGGGTGCCATTTAAAAATCAAAAGTTGTAGTAATTTCCGGTGAAAAAGAAAGTGGCCGAAAAGAATTGAATACGTCAATCAATGCTAATTTATGTCGTATACTAATATACCAAATCTCGTTTTTTTTTTATCTGAAAAATAGAAAAGTTATAGGGGTGAGCCACTTTTGAGACGCCAATGTAATTACAATGGCGTAACTTTATTCCAAATTTGAGATGATAAATATCTGAAAATTTGCAAGATCTATGAAGAAAGAAGAGTTATAAAAATTATTGCAATTTTAGCACCTTGTAGATTGATAATGAATAGTCCAGTTATCTTAGTCGAAATAGGGTAGAAATCTCGGAATTCAAGATAACCGGCTGTAAACTCATATAAACCTTTATTTTAACATCCTAAAACATGATAGCATGTACGCGACTTGTAGATAACTGAGGTCAAAGGTCAAAAAATCGGATTTTTTGCGCATTTTTTGCGAATATCTCGTTCCCTTTCACATTTACGCTTTTTGTATTCATTATAAATATTGTAGAGAATAAAATTCTCTACAACTTTTGTTTCAAAATTTTTTTTGTACCTCAAACCGTTTTTGAGATAGAGGGCGGTGAGCGCGCAGTCTTTCATTATGTACGGTATCATTCAAGTTCAACCTGTAGCCTCGGTCAAAAACACGCCGTATAAAGTCCGTTAATTATTGAAAAATATATAATTATAAATAATTTACATTTTTTCATAAAAGATCATATTCAATATAATAATTTTTTTCATAAATTAAGTATATCTTCATTTAATAACACTTACCTCTTTGTACAATTACAAAATTATTAACAGAAATACTTTAATTACTTTTTTATTATAGTTAGATTTATACTAATTACATTTTAAGTAAATAAAAAGACAAGAAATACACTTTTAATTTATATGTCTATTAAAAAATACGATTTCATACATTTCTCATGGTTGAAATTAAAAAAAAATGAATAAAATTAAAAAGAACTCCATGTTCTTATTTTTAGTTTTCTTCTTCTTCATCATCGTCGTCTGGTCGTTGTGAAATTTCAAAGTCTTCTTCATTTTCATCTTCAACGACATTTATCTCCAAGTCTTCTAGGATTTCGAGGCCAAATGTTCCACCATCTTCATTGGCATCACTTTGATAGGGTGAAGCATTGAGACAAGCTTGCCCATTACACTGGCCACAAGCTAAAGAGCACGGCAACCCTGATTTCCTGCGTCCACATCGCGAACCACAATCATTCTTGCAGTTGCAGAATATTGTGTTCAGCAAATTTATTTCAGCAAAATTATTATATTCAATATGATCTTTTATGAAAAAATGTAAATTATTTATAATTATATATTTTTCAATAATTAACGGACTTTATACGGCGTGTTTTTAACCGAGACTACAGGTTGAACTTGAATGATACCGTACATAATGAAAGACTGCGCGCTCACCGCCTTCTATCTCAAAAACGGTTTGAGGTACAAAAAAATTTTTGAAACAAATGTTGCAGAAAATTTTATTCTCTACAATATTTATTGTAAATACAAATAGCGTAAATGTGAAAGGGAACTAGATATTTGCAAAAAATGTGCAAAAATCGATTTTTTGACCTTTGACCTCAGTTATCTACGTCGTGCACACGCTATTATATGTAGGTTTTGAGACATGTTTTAGGATGTTAAAATAAAGGTTTATACGAGTTTACAGCCGGTTATCTCGAATTTGGAGGTGAAACCCCTAAGATGACTGAACTAGAAGTGTTTTTGAATCTAAGTTTATTTTAAAATTTTAGTCATATCATAAAACAACTACTTTGTTTCTTTTGTAAATGATCTTTATGAAACACGGTTTATATTTACATCTTTAGGTGGTGCATTATGGTATGAATGAAAAAGTAGGCAATGTGAGCTTTGACATGCCCAAAGATGGAGAGATGATGATTGAGAAGCCTTATTCAGAAGAAACAGCCCAATTAATTGATATTGAGGTATATTTTTAAGCTAGAATTATGATTATTTTCTATTTTGTTTTTTAAATATTTTTTTTAGGTTAGGAAACTTATAGAAGCTGCACACAAAAGGACCAGAGAATTGCTGACTGAACACAAGGATCAAGTGGCCAAAGTAGCTGAAAGATTGTTAAAACAAGAGATAATCAGCAGAGATGATATGATTGATCTCTTAGGCAGGAGACCTTTCAAAGAAAAGTCGACTTATGAAGAATTTGTGGAAGGAACAGGTTCATTTGAGGAAGATACAACTTTGCCAGAAGGTAAGAAAACTTTGAAAATCATATTGATGAACACTGAGATTTTTTTTAATAATTTGCGAAAAAATTGGATATTTTTCAGTAATTTTTCTTGGCTGAGTGGCAAGTGTCAGAATGCTGATCTTGATACAATAGTTTTTAGAAAACAACAAAATATAAATCAACAAATACTTCACACAATTACACATTCAATATTATTCTAAAATATCTCTAAATGATTTGATTATTTGAAAAATATCAAAATAAAACACTAATTCACCATAACATACCAAATAATTTTACTTTTGCACTCGACGCCCGTTTCGCTAACCATGTTAACCATTAAAACGGTTTTAATCTTCTGCTAAGATTGTGGTGAAAAGCCAAAAAAAAATCCGTTTCATGTAATAAACATGGCAAAGAGAGAGTGACAATATTTGACATAACCGCCAAGGATTGAAACGTGTCAGTGTGAAGAACAAAGCATATGATATGTATAGGTGGCGCGTGATCGAATACGTGAGAGTGCACAACATTAGAAAAAAAATTGTCAAGTGTCCACATCGAAAAATCTCTTATATATTTATATATAACTCAAATATTTGAACTCAAGTCGTCAATCTAAAGTTACAAAATATATATGTTACGGTTAAGGTCCGATGTCCGGTTGATGTCGACATTACCCGGTTAATCTCCAGAATAACACAACAAAACAACCAAAAACATAACCTAACCCAAACATTAACGTGTTAATGTCGACATTAACCGGACATCAAACTTTAACCGTAACATATATATAAATTCGGGTCAGAACGTTCTACGACGTTATCCGATGCCTAACTTCCACCCTCTGCGATTTTCCCATTGATCTTCGGTCAGATTTTTCTCGCTCATCGATCTTCTTATTTCTTCCATCCATGTTTTCTTGGGACGTCGTCTCTTTCGCTTACCAGGTGGTATCAAATGAATTACTTGTTAAGGAATTCTTTCAGTGTGCATTCTCTGAAATTTTGTTCTATATCATTTACTATTGTTCCCTAAATAATTCCCATCTATCATTTAATTTCTGATTTTATCCTTCCGTGAAATTCTCATTGCTCTTCTAATCGCGTCCATTTCTGTTGTCTCTAAAGCGAGCTGTAAGTTAGAAAGTAAAATATTTTATTTTATTAAAAAATTAAAAAATAAAGGGACCAAACCAAACTAAATCACCCACCTGTTCTTAAAGTTTTTTTTTTATATATTGCACGATAATGTCACTTTTGTAGTGCGTGAACTCAGACCATTCAATACAACGCTGAAAATTCCAATCGCGAGCTGTAAGTGTAATCGCGAGCTTATTACATGTGCACACGAGTCAGCTTATTATATCGCACGTCGCTGGAGTATCGGAGGAACCGAGGGTTGTCTCGTTGTCTCACTTGGGTAAAAAATGTACAGTGCTGCCAAAATTTCATTTTACTGCCAAGTAGACTGCCTATGTCTGCTATATATTAGTCCACTGATGCCAAAGACTGCCAAAAATTAATTACATGTAATATACAGAGGGTATCCCAATATTCCGTGGACATAGAACTACTTATTTTTGGAATCAAAATAGATTCATTGAGCACAATTTACCTCTATACAAAAGTGCTTCGTTTGTCCGTTGGGGGGCATCAAACAACACAAAAATAAACACATTTTTTCAGATATTGAACTCTGCTCAGGTAACACGCATTAAGTATATAGAGAAAGTACAAAACAAATTTTTGAGATATTTGTACTACAAAAAATACTCACAATATCCCAACTACGATATAGTTCGCTCCTCTGACTTGAGAAATGAATTTAATATAAATACATTAGAAGTTAGACGAAACTATTATTCAATAATGTTCATTTTCAAAATTCTTATTAACTTCATTGATGAACCCCGACTGATATCACTATGTGGAATGAATATACCTCCTCGCCAGCTCAGACCAGTTCGATCTTTTTACGTGCCTTTTTCTTCCATGAATCGGCGTCCTCCGATTTCCCGAATGATAGCCACTATGAATAATGCTATTGAAATATACGATCTTGATATATCCGATAATATTTGTAAATTTGGCCTTAAATTTTTTCTTCGTTTTTGACAATTATAATAGTTAATTATTTATAATGTCAAAACAATTTATAATGTCCAAACCATTATTTTTATTGTGTTTCGAAACCCCCCTGCAGTTTTGAACTCCAAAGACAATATTATTTAGATATCTGAAAATACATTTTTTATTGTTTGTTCTTTAATATTAGTTATAGCAGAGTAAGTAGATCGCCGAGTAGCAACAGAAACCTTCGGCTCTTTTGATGTGGTGGGATCAAATTTTCTTTCTCTCTCTTTTGACGTGTTTGACAGATAGACTACGTATTTAACTGCTCAACTTATGAAGTGGTCTTATAAACATGGTATACACTGCTCATAATTTGAAGTGGAATTAATTATAAAGTTTTATACATATTTTTTTTGTTTTGTTTTATCCTTATTTCTAAATTTGAATGTATAAAATATCTTACAGCTAATAAATAATTTAAAAAACGATTCGTTGCCTGAGGTATACTTGAAATAAAGTATATAGAGATATTTGATAAATGGCAACAGTGGCAACTTCGCTTCTTCATATGACAGATAACCTACTTATTTCGCGCAGCCGCAAAGAAAATTGAAAACGGGACTGTCGCTACTCGTCGGTTTACTTACTCTGGTTATAGGTACTGAATGGTATGTTTATATTTCTTTTTGTCATTTCTATATTTTTTTTTGTTGAATTGTAATGTTATATTATCTTGGTATCTCATGTAATTACATGATTTGTGTGTTTGGGATAAATAGATAAATAAATAAATAAATATTTTAAGAGCTGTTATCCCGATTTGAATGAGATTTCATGTTTGGTTTGGTTTGGGATGAGATTCTGGATGTCATGTTTTGCGAAGTGCTTTAACGTTTGACTTTTACAAAAATCAAGAAAAAGTACGGAAAGGGTGGAAACTTACCCCACCTTATGATTGCACATCATAATACGACGACCAGCAAACTCCATAAGACGACGCATGGTGTCATTGATGACATGCACCCAAAGTTTTTTAATTTCCCTTTATTTTGATTCATATAATACGTACTTGTTCTATGTCCACGTAATATTGGAACTCCCTGTATTTTTTGTGCTTTAAAAAAATAAATTCTCCACAAATTTTTTTCTCAAAAACTATGCGATTTGGGTTTTTTTACAAGAAACAAGAAATGTAGTAAATACTAGAGGGACCACTTTACGAAAAAAAAAAAATCAACGACCCATTTTTTTCTCGTTGAGTTGGAAAATATTTATACTAAAATGTATGCAAGGGTGGGAGTAGTTTTTACCCTTCTCGTACTTTTTCTTGATTTTTATGAAAGTCAAATGTTAAAGCACTTAACAAAATATAGACACCCAGAATCTCATTCAAGTCGGAAATAACGGTTCTTAAAATATCTGAAAAAATGTGTTTATTTTCTTAAAGTTTGATGTCCTCTAGCGGACAAACGAAGCATTTTTGTATAGAGGTAAATTGTGTCCAATGAACCTATTTTGATTGCAAAAATACGTATAAGTTCTATGTCCACGGAATATTGGGACACCCTGTATATATATAATGTTAAAATAAATTAACGCTCCTTTTGATTTGTATATGATATTTTAGAACACCCTGTGTATTCTCTTTTGAAAGGAGATTTTAAAAGGATTTTTAAATACAGGGTGTTCTTAAATATGAATTACAAATAGTGTATTTTGGTTTATTTTATTATAAACTATAGGGACGCCAATGTAATTGCAGTGGTGTAAACTTTATTCCAAATTTGTACATGTACTGCCAAAATCTCATTTTACTGCCAAGAAGACTGTCTATGTCTGCCATATAATTATAGTCGACTGATGCCAACGACTGCCAGTGACTGTCAAGAAGACAGTTGAGGCCGGTTGAGAGTTTTGTTTAGATAGTAATAGAGAAGTTTAAGCCTTAACACCAGATAAGAAATTTGCTGAAGTTTTTGTGTATCAATTTCCAGTACTACTAATAGTAGAATTAATGAAAGAATTATAAACTTTAAATTAGTTTTTTTTTCTTAAGAAGATGCATTAAATTAGGAACTTATTAAGGCACTTGTTAAGGAACATCAACTGTTCATCATAAACTTTTCTTAATGACAAAATGTGCTAAATGTAATATTTTTTCCAGTTATTGCAAACATAATACTTTTTTTAGTACACTGTATATTTCCTAACTTTATTAATCTGAATTTTATTTTCAGGGTTGAAAGAATGGAACAAAGAGAAGAACAACACTAGTCCACAGGAGAAAGCGCAGGCGTAGATTCAATAATTTATTAATTTTACCGAGACGTGGTTGTAGTTATACAAAATGTGCAAACAGTTTGCTCCTAAGCTATTTTTTACTATATGCTGTGAAGAGTGAATCTAAAAAGAGTTATAGAATAAAAGAACGTTATTAAAAATCAGTTTTAATTGTCGATTTTTAAGTATTCTGTTTTTTTTTGTTGATCAAAAAAACATGTGTAAAATAAATTTATTAGAAAAAAACACTAGTTTTTTCTTTATCTGTTAAGTCCCGTCTAGACGACAAGTTTTATCTGTCAGGTAAGACAGATTAGAAACTAGTGCTTTACCTAATATAGAAATTTAATAGTGTCAAGGATTGGTGGTGACATCTTTCGGGGAACGGCGGTTTTCGGGGAATTGCGCGCCATTTCTTTGACGTTGATGGAAAAAACCGGACGAGGAAATTACTAGAAACAAGAAGAAAGAAGAATTGTGATAATTTCGGGAATGGAAATTACCACCAGAATAACCGCTAGGGTAATAATAAAGTGGGAATCGTTAGGAACCGTTGTAGAATGTTTAGGAGGGGGTTAATCACCGCGACCTTATAGATCTATTGTGTGTTCACTGTATGATGAGTCATAACGAGTTATAACTCATCATACAGTCTCAGGGCTTTAACAAAAGCCAGTACCTGAGACTGCTTCATAGAGGCCAGCTCTCCATCCTCGACCTCAGCCGTACCAAAGTTCATGGCATGAACGGTCGTCATCTCGGCGCACTAAGTGATAAGGATGTTCTGCTGTTTCCTCATTTCCCCACAGAATCTGAATTCGCCGTTGGTTCTCAGCTTCAGTCTACTGAGGTGTTCGTTGAGGAGACAGTGTCCTGTTCGAAACTCCATGGACAATCCGAAGATTGTTTTTACTTAAATCATGGAAAATCTTTATTTTTCTCGGTCCTAAGTCCTGGGGAACTTTTTCGAGTGTCTTAGACCGTTAGAGGACTCACAAAGCAGGATACGGATGGGATCTTCCAGGTTCTTCAGTTCCGCTTTTAGTTGGTTTCCGCTTGGAAAGCAGAACGGTTCTGGTCCAGTTAGTGTAGTGTTCGCTCCTTTTCTAGCTAGATCATTTGCTTTTTTATTGCTTTCTATCCCTTGGTGGGCGAGCACCCAGAGTAGGAGGACATAATTTTCTTTGTCTAATTTGTTCAGCATCTCTAGGAATTCTTTGACCAACTTCGAAAGGAACTAGGAACAGTTAGTCACTTTTAAACAGAATTTTAAATTAAGCTAATTGGCGAAGGAACTAGAAAATCAGACGAAGAGTTATTAGTGTGTTGTATTTAATTAGTTATTGGTGTTTATAGACGTAGAATAAATTAATTTAAGTGTTTTATCGTGTATTTTAATTACAGACCCACAGAATCCATAACGCTAGTTTTAACAATATAGCAATATTTAATTACATATAGCAATTTGGTAATTGTGGCAAAGGCAATTGTAAAAGAGAAATTAGACGCAGAATACACTTAGCAAAAACTGCCACCACGCGTCTTACAAGAATATGGCAGAGCAGAGTGATAACAACCCACACAAACAAGAATTTGCTGCATACAATTGTCTTCTCAATATTTATGGAATGGAATCATATGGACCATCAAATCATCGGAAAGGCGCATGATAGACAGCTTTGAAATGTGGTGCTACAGATGTATGCTGAGAATACCTTGGACAGCTAGAAGAATTAATCTGTCAAAAAATGAGCTTAACATAAGCACCCGACTGTGGTCATCTGTCTGAAACGCATCCTCGAGTACTTTGGACACATTGCTCGAAGACCTGCCGACAACATGGACAAATTATTATAACGGGTGATGTCCAAGGAAAAAGATCTAGAGGTCGGTCCCCAACAAGATGGATCGATGAAGTAAGACAAACAACGGGTCTACCCCTACATTCAGCTATCTATCGAGTTCAAGACATATTAGCCTGGAAAGATATTATAAAAAAAGTATTCTCATAGAAGTCACAACCCTCAGCTATGAGGAACGATTGGGGAGAGAGAGATAGCAATTTATTTGTTTAGCTAAGTTGAAAAGAAAAAACATGGCGTTTTACTATAAAATTGTATTTATGCTTTAAATTTCATTTGTACACACCCAATTGTGAAAATAATATCAATTGATATAATCAGTAATAATACAAAATTACATGTTTTGAGAAACTTTGCAAAAATATTAAATTTTTAAAAGTCGCTTATTGAGCATGCTGTAATGTATTCACGTGTTAAGCTTAGCTAAGAAACGTGTGTAAGAATGTGTTTAGGGTCATGTAAATGATTACTCGATTGCTGCCATACTAATACTAATTTATTCTACCTTTGTATAATATAAATTTATAATGTTCGATTGATTATTGCTATGGTTGTAAAATATTAAAACTAGGTTACTTTAATACTAATTATTGTTAATAGCATTATTAGAGTTTACTGAATAAGCATTTGATTTGGTTGCACCACACGTGAATATATTATAGCATGTTTTCATGCAAATTATAGAAAATGTTTAATTCCCTGAAAGAACTAAATTCGGACTTATTAAATCATCTTTTTTTGCCTAATTTGTATACATGAAAACTAGCTTTAGTTCATCTTAGAAATTCAGATGTGATCGAAAGTTTGTATTTATTAATTACATTCATTTGATTAATAAATAATAATTTAATGTTAAGAATTTTATGCTATCCCTCTACCTTAAAGGCAGGTAACCATGTACAATTATGACTGATTCGGTCCATTGTCGGTGTATTATAACGAAATTTGTCCGAACCCGTAGTTTGTAATAAGCACCTTGGACATTGTTCATACGCTTTGATGTACCGCCCTATTAAATTTGGTCGGCCACGGCCAGCTAGCGCTTTGTCTTTCTCCCTCGCGTTGCAATTGACGTAAGTGACATGTCGAACAAAAGCCTCTAGTTATCCCGCAATTTCTCCTAATACGCGTATATAGGTATTATCGCGTTTGCGTTCACTGGTCAATACCGTTTGATAAATTTACGCGCTAAAGTGCTAAACGTTTGATAACGATAATATCCAATAACGCTTACCAGCTTGTAACGATAATAGAGGGTAAATCTCGTATAAAATTTGTCGCTATAGGTAAAATCAAATTTGAAAAAAAAAATAAAAAAAAAGTTTTAAGTGACGAACAACCCGAGACCTCTACGAGCAGAAATGAGAATAAAATTCAAAAGACTACCGGAAATGAAGTTTGTCCACTTTACTGAATTGTTCAAACTGCGACATGAAATTTAAAATGAACCCAAAAAAAGTTATTAAATAAAATAAAAATAATATTTGTTTATAGTGTCATTGTTAGTGGTCATATTACTCTGTTAATTACTGTAAACCTCTCTGTGCTGAATTACTTTAATAAACATTTAAATAAGAAGTTCAATTCGGTCGTAGAAAAGACGTGTGCAACATGTGCAAAACGCATATTTGTTGCACTCAGCATGATTGCAGCAAACTCATGCGTCGTGCAACAAATATGTGCTTTTTGCACTAGTTACACAGTATAAAAAACTATTTTAAATTGCTATAATATTGCATTATAAAACAATTTTATAGAAGTGTCATAACGCTGTATAAAATAATACTATACGATTTGTATACACTTTTATAATTTTTATCCAATTTAAAATAAATTTATCTTATCTAACTGCTATCACTAAACTGTTGTATAAAAGTGCATTTTTTGGTTGTAATTTTAAGGATTATTTAATTGTTCTGTAACACTTTCAAACAAAATTTCAATATTATTTAAAATATATGTCTTATAGTTGCTTATAAAATCCATATCGAATGTATTTTGTTACTTCGGAGTGGTTTTTAAAATATTTATTGATGGTAATATGTGCGAAGTAGACAGTTAAGCTTGCCACGCACTTATGTGAAGCCCGGCGCACACACAGCAAAATGCTATCTTTAGCTTGACAAAAATCCAAATTATTTTTTTTTCATATATTTATCCACACTTAATTAAACATTAAATAATATAAATTATTCCGTTCAAGTAGAATAGTGCAAGCGTTACTGAAAATTGATGTAGTTTGCACCTTTCGTGGAGCGCAAAAGAGTGTCATTTACACCCAGCACTGCCATTTGATTTTTTTTCTACTGTTAATAATATATAAAAAAAAGCTTGTAATAAAGTTAGAAATTCATAATTTAGAATATCTGTCTTTTTAAAATTAAAAAAATCCTTTCTTGATATTGCAGGACTGGTATAGAAATCAGTGCGACTCCATGCAAATAAAGGGCTATTTCAAAAAAAGGGCAACTTTGGGAAAGCTGATCTTTTTATACCTATATCAACATACATTAAGGATTTTAATTTTGATAAATTAAAAGCGGAACTCCGTGGAGCTCATTACTATAACTCATTATGAAAACAAAATTATAAAAAATAAACACAAAATCGTGTGTTTAAAATATATTTTATCTACATTCAAAACCACATGTACCACATGTCTGTGCCATTATCCATAATGATAATTAATTTTCAAATGGATGTGCTGGGTGTAAATGACACTCTTTTGCGCTCCACGTTTGTTCAGCGCTCTCCTCAGAAAGTGCGGACTCCATTAACTTTTGGTAGCGCTTGAGCCGTTTTAGTTGCTGGAAAAAAATATAACAATTAAAATTAGGTCCACAGATTTAATAAGACCAACAGTTAGTGCATGAACATACAAAAAAATATTTGTAATTTGGATTTTTGTCAAGCTAAACATGGCATTTTGCCGTGTGTTTTGCCGTGTGTGCGGGAATGATCGTAAACTAAAAAGTCAATTACACTTTATACTTTTTAGTTTAACCACTAATTTATTTCACTAATTGCAAGGTTCTAAATGAAGCTTTAAGCTATATTCGGAACCTCGAAATCAGTGGAATAAATTAGTAGTTTCAATTAGCCGTAGAAGTTTGTTTATCTAATTTTGTAGGCATTCACAACGTCATAATTAGTGGTGGTAATTTTCAATTAGTGGAAAAAGTTAACAAACTTTTGACTTTGTCACTAATTATTCTTCAAAATTTGCGAGGAATGTCATTTTGGCCTTTGATTATCACCCGTCAAGAAAAATGTTGGTTAGAAATCAAAAGTTTATTGTTTCATAAGCTAAATATTAGTCTTTCTCTATGGATACAACTGACTACAGCTGTTGCTAGGATATTTTATTAATTTTAATTGTGTTTTTTAGA